GATGGCGGATTCATGATCTTTCGAAGCGTTGAATTCATCCTAAGATGACTTTAATGCTCTGCACTGAGCTCAAATTATCTTGCAAAGAATCAACAATATCTAAACAACAAAATGACGTAACTTAAAAAAAAGAAAAAACGAGTAAAGAGTGAAGGAAAACTATAGGTCGGGAACGTTGTAGAAGCGAGTGAAATGTGATTGCACTTTGGTTTTATTGGAATAGATTCAAAGACAGGAGCTAACATAATTGGTCACAGGTGACGTGGTACCGCATATGGTTAGAAGGCTCTCCTAGTTGTCTTTTGTAATTTGGAGTTGTTTCTTTGAGATATGGGCAAAAACTTCCATCAGTATACTATTTATTGGTTGGTGCTAACATTTAAGCACTTTTAGTACTATCTTCTCTTGATATTTTATTATAATTCCGACTGCAAAATGATCATTACTCTATGTAAAACTGTATCCCGTGTGTTCTGTATTTCATTGTTTTTCATCTTCACTTGCAAACCAAATTCCATCAGTTGTTTTGCATCTCTCGTGATCATATTTCCCAGTGACGGGAGCTTGTCTTGCAATATCCTGATATCTGTATATGTGGTTCCTTTTCGATAAATCACATTGCGATAATGATTTATTCATTGATCCGTGGAACAAATACCTTAAATTTCATTTTGTTAGTTTCCTGAGTATTATTCTTTATCTTTTAATAGAAAAAAAAAAAAACTAGAGTGATTATGGAAAGCAAAACAGTTCAGTATGATTTACGGTTATCGGCAATGGCATAACGGCTCTCATCGAATGTACATTTCTACAACTTTTTAGAAATATTTCGAACACCCGCAATCTGTTTAGTCCTTGCGGCACCTACAATATTTCTGTGTGTGTACATATTTCATGTTTCTATATAAGATGTTTGGAATGGGAGGGATGTATATCTCAATTTGAATATCACTTGTCTTGAATGTAGTAGAACGACTAGCAAATGTTGGATAAATGTTGGAACTGAGGTACCGCACAATTTAACAGCCATTGAAAAATATCGCAGGACGAACGAGTGTTATAATCATATACATGAATTAAACAAATTGGGGAGGCAGAATACTGCGTAAATTAGGCAAACTGGGAAGGCAGGATACCAGAAGTGTAATCATGACCTGAGATACGTAAGGATCTGACACTTTATTCTTTAAATCTCACTGTTTTTTTTTTTGGTCCGATTATTTGCCGAAATTTTGGCGGTAACATGAACGATCCGGGCATTTGAAGCTGTGCATCAGGATAAGGTTTAGACCGTCTGTCGTCGTAATATTTACAACTATTGTAATTGCATGCACATCAAACCTTGTCACGTATGTGGTTTTGCAGAGGACGGCATTTCAAAATTCGCATCAGTTTTATAACAGAAGCACGATTTCAAAGAAATCAATTTCTTAAACGAAAAAATTTACAGTTTAGAATTTTCAAAAGTACGCTGGATCAGTTTTTTAAATTAAATTTCTAAATGGTGCTCTATAGACATGTCCACATACTAATTAACGCAATTATAATTCAATTAGTTGCAAGTGTTGGAGACATAGACCACAGTAAGGAAATATACGATATGCAGAAAATATCCGTTAACTTCAATTGCAACAGATGAATTAAAATATCACTGATTATTGGATAGTATCGGAGCGAATGTCTGCTGCTTTGAATCAACAAAAAGATCGAAGTGCATCTTACATCTCACCTAAAGAGGTATATGTTAAGTAGATATGGCAATAAGCAGTACGTCATGATTTATAAACGTACCTAATGATCGTCATGTAATGGCTAGAATTAATGCAAAATTCAGGATTTTAACGACATATGATAAAAGACAAATATATGACAAAAAAAAAGTCGCTAGTAGTATAAGAACTATTACTTTTTCAATTTGCTACACAAATATCTCTCCTATTGCGAAAGAAACGCTCTTCAAGAAGTGTGCAGCAATCAAGAGGGATAGATAGCTGTTATAAGTGAAGAAAGGTATTTATCATTCCTGGAACGATCATTATACACCGTAAAAAGGCAATTCAGATGAAGTTAATGGAAACTCTGTGAGGGGCTGCTGTTAAAAGTGCTACTGGTGATGGAAGGCCAACTAATACAGTTAATGATCGAATGACTGTTGTCTAACATTGATGACAATGAAATCACTGGATATCGGTCATCATCTACAACTACAACTCACTGCACGGATGATGTAACCGTGACATTGCCTATTTCAATTCTCTCTATGATTCATGATGGCTTTCAGCCAGAATATAGAGTGTCTCGGTAGGATTGACATAGCACGCTATCCTTTTACCTCGTTTCATCCTTTAATTTCACCATTCAAACTAGAATATGGATATGGAGATATTTTTGGATGAGAAGTGGTGATACAAAGAGTGATAATGACTATTGAAATACTTATCGTTATTCATCTGTTCGGCAATTACTCATCAAGATAATTTGCTGGATTATCAGTAGGAAGTGAAATGAAGGAAAGAGAAGGAAAGGAATGGAAAGGGCGCTTGGAAAGTATGCCATTACCACTAAACTAATCGCGTACAGTTACCATCAATTCTTCCGAATTCCTGCCAATTATCTTCGCTCCTCTACATCTTCATAACTTTCTTTTTATTCTCTTCCTTCTCCCTCTCTCTCTTTCTCTCTCTCTCCTTCACTAAAAACGATATGTCTTTGATTGTTGTTAAAGATAAGCACTCCTAACAAAAACAAAACACCAACCCGAAAATGCGAAATATACGGTGTTACTTATCGCGAAGGTACTTCAGTAGTGACGATTTTTAGCAATTCGGCTACTAACCGCCGTGCAACGTCACAGAGATATTGGTTGTTGGGTGGTGAGATTGATACTTTGTGTTTCTGTTGTGCTGCGCATTGTTTTCTCTTAGGGATAAGGTATTGGCAGATTCGATAAGCTTTAGACAATTCGTGAGCAGTATGAATCATCTTGCTAGCTGTTTCATCTCCTGTAATAGATATTAGTGCACTGTGCTTGCTTGACCGGAGACAAGGCACGCAATATTGAAAGGATGAGGTTTATCTTTCTGACCCTGATCCTTGATACTTTATTAGAATGTTTGGTGAGTGTGTCAACAATCAGATAAAACCTAAGTGAGTTAAGATTTTGGTTGTGCAGTCGTAGATGCATGCATATTAATTAGATGATCCTATGCGCCCATTATGACGCATGATCAAGAAATTGTCTACAAATATATATTTTTCCAGGAGAACGGAACAGAACAGAACATTCGGTGTACATGGCTGCTGGTAAGCATTCAATTCATAACTCCTTATGAGCTATTGAGTCTAAGGGTTTATTCCAAATTCATAGATTATTCCAATTTTAATGTTAGTCATATTATTCATACGAAATTTAGATTTGAGGAGGGATGACAAAGTGCTACTACTACGACATATTAGTGATATTTGTTATTAATTATCATTTGCTATGAGTATTATTAAATTTTATACGAATCAAACGTTTCGTCTGTACTACATACTAAACATGTTAAAGTAGAGTTTCAGGATTTCACCACTTTTGTCTTTCTTCAGAATGCATGAGTTGGTGACTTTTGTTGCTAAATTTTACATAAATGTGATTCTTTATTTTAGCGTCAACAACCACTCTAACGAGTAAAATTTTATGTCGGTATTTTGCGAATAATATTTGTCGTGAAGGTTCTTCATGTCCATTTTCGCATGATCGTAACTCTAAACCGGATCGAACGTGCCGTTACTATCTGATTGGAAAATGTGCTTTTGGTACTTCTTGCAGGTACATTGTTTCGTTCACTTCTTAGTTCATCTAGTATATTTACAACTGAAGCAGCTGAAGACGAAAGCATTCTAGCTTTCGTTATACCGCCTAAAACGCCAAAGTCACAAAAGCTTAGAAATCTGAATATTCGATTGGTAGTGGTAGTTGTATTTTTCCTAGAGCGATACTTTTATAAAAGTACCTATTCACTAGTATCATTTATTAGCATGAGGGAATTCGAACTACCATGCATGCAGCTATTAGTATTGTCAAATATTTCTCAGGTATGACCATAAGCGACCGCCGTTGGATGGAATTAAGACAGTGAAAAGCTTTTCTCGTGTGACAGAAAATTCTAACCCAACGAAAGGTAATTTTCATCCCAGTGATGTTTCTAAAAATCGAATAGTTATTTACATATACATTGTTAAAATCACCATATGGTCACTAAGAAGTACAATATGATAGAGAAAATAACTATGTTTATTGTGCTATCACAATGCGGCATCAGCTTCGATCGAAAAGATCTTAGTGAGAGAGCTGTTAATGAACTTGATTAATAATGGGTAGTATAATACGCAAAATAGTTTGATTATTCGTTATTGCAGTGGTTGAAAATGGTTGCAGCAATGATGAAATAGCAACGACAGCAGCAGCAGTAAACCGAAGCAGTCACGTGTTTTCCGTGGATGCAGCCGAATTTATTCCTTCTTGGAAAATTTCGGCATTAAACGAATATAGTACTGTTGCTTCGGGGTAGGTGAACTACAGATCTTTCGCAAAGAGTGAATTATTCCTGAATGCAAGGTGAAATGAACGAATACAAAGACAGTTGCAGGTCATTTGGTTCGCTACCATTATGTCCGTATTTCGAAACGGGAGATTGTGATAAAGGTGATAAGTGCCAGTTCGTGCATGGCGATGTGTGCGATCTTTGTAATGTGCCATGCTTACATCCAACGGATACAGAGCAGCGTGCACAGCATCGACGGGAATGCATAGATGCCCATGAAGCTGCCATGGAAGAAGCATTTGCAGAAGCACGCTCGGCTGGTAAAGTGTGTGGTATATGTATGGAAAACATTAGGCGAGTTAATGTGTCTCATCTTTTATTGGACTATGCTTTAACTGGGAGTGGAAAGGGAGGAATAAATATATTTTCATATTTTTTCGACAAAAATCATTTGTAAGCATGATATATGTGCACTTTCAGGGAGAGGAAGAGCCGTTTTGGAATTCTGGAAGGGTGCAGACACTGCTTTTGTCTAGATTGTATCCGGCAGTGGCGCCGAAATCAGAATGATCATTTCGAAAAGAAGACAGTTCGCAGTTGTCCTGAATGTCGCACTCATTCAGATTTCGTCATTCCCGGTTAGTGATCAACATTCTGTTTTTTATCATAAGAATTTACTGAAAAAGCTTTTTCTTATATTTGATAAATAAAAAGAGAAAAAAAATTGTCAATCAATTTTTAGAAAGATATTTTTGACTAAAAAAATAATGAAATATTTCTTCTTGCATTTTTTTGGAGAAAAAAAAGCCTTATATGTATGTTGCAGCCACATACTGGGTCGAGGATCAAGCGGATAAAGATGACTTGATTGCAAGATTTCGTGAAAATACAAAACAGAAGCAGTGCAAATATGTAAAAGAAGGATATATCGACGATTGTCCATTTGGCAATAAGTGTTTCTACAAACATGAACTGCCGGATGGCACTATCGTGGAAGGCGACAGCCCACGGACTCTTCAAAGGTTCTTGTCTCTACATAAAGTTACTTTTCCCATTGTTTCGATTTATGTTCATGGGAAAATGATGATTGATGGCATTTTGCAGACGAAGACGTCCGTTATATTCCGAAGTATGGTCATTTTCTGATTCAGACTCGGAAGATGATTTTTCGAGAATTGCGCAGGGCATTATCAGCCGAGCCTTCAATCTCGTGTAAAATCTTTCAGGATTTTTCCTGTCACTCATACACTTCACACATCTTTGGCAATACTGGGCATCATTCTTCAGCATCTATAAATAGGAAGCCACACATAAGTTTACCGAATTCAAGAAAGTGTTATTCGTTGTCATGAAGTTTTTGTTTGCTTCTTTACGTTCCTACTCTGTGGCAGACCAAGACCCCCTATTTCTTCATACCAGTTATGTAATTGAGTTCTGTTTCCGTTTCATATTCTGACTACTAGTGTGCTTATTTTTCATTGGATTCTATATGATGTTTCCAATTACTAATTTTTCGCCAAGAATAACTTGAACATAACTGTAGCATCATGATGTAATGTCTGTTGTAGGAGCTTTAAACTGATTGTATGCTGTGCTTAAATTGTTAGGATATCGTCAAATACCGGTAACCTATATTCCGGCTCATTATCTATTCATTTTATTACTTGTGTCAAACTAATACCCCAGTGTTTGTTATTGGTTTCTAATGAAGTGCTGTTCCAGTTAAATCTGGTGTTCATATTTTCAGTTGGAATGTTTCCTTTTGCGTCTTCACATAATTTTTGGTAGAGTCTTTCCCACTAATATTACTGGATACCTAGTTTTGAATGGAGATAGCAACAAGTAATGATGAGCTCGAACATGTTTCCAAAGGCTCCTAGCAAACTTAGATTTTGCACTGCGTTTTAATAAACTGCCAATAAAAATGGTTGTTTGGGATCATGGAAAGCTTAACCGTGCAGGTAAATTGAGCGAACTGAGAGGCGCATGTTTCTTGAGTTCGTGGCGGTATTTTTTTTTTTTTTTTTTAGCTTTTTAGTAGACTGATGCGTGTTTGTAACGTGCAATCGCACAAGCTGATCTCCATGGTTAGACATGAACAATTTGGGAAAAGGCAAGAGGAGCTGACCTTATACGACTGGTGTAATCCACATAAAGGGGTTCTGGTTTTATATTTGTTATTGCAAGTAGACTGCGTTGACCGAAAGAAATGCTCGGTTTGGCTAATCGGAACATCCAGTACGCTGTGTTCCTTCCCTTCAATGGTGACCTTATCAAATGAAATAAATTTAGCCTGGAAGTTCTACCTCCTCGACTTCTACACTTAGAATCATTGTTTCGTTCATGACTTCAATTGGAAGTTCCATTCAACTGTTGAAGAAAGACTGTTCGACATTTCATATGGTTCAAAAGTTAAATTAGACTTTAATTGGAGTATGTCGGAATTAATTTCTCATAATGAGTGTGGTTTACTGGTGAATCCCCATAAGAAGTATTGTTGTAAGGAGTGTGGTTTACTAGTGGATCCCCACAAAAAGTATTGTAGTTGCACAAAATTATTAATTACCAATAGATGATACAGTTAAAAAAATGATAGAGGTCAACTAAGAACTTTCAAAGCGTGATATATGCATATCTGTTTCTAAAATGAGCAATAAATATAATGGCAAGAGGAACGAACTTACGTACAGCGAAAGGATTTTTGCGATTATTTCAGCTTTTGTTATACATAGGGTGGAGCCAGCGTGGGTTCATGTATGTCCCGGTGTTGAACAGCAAGGAAAAAGCTCGGGAATTGGTTGATATCGTTCGGGAACAAACTGATGCACCTATAGGAACCTGTATAAATACTGTATCGATAATCTTAAGTACTTTACTGCGAGATTTACCCGACCTGTATAATCTTCATGTCATAAGAAATGCTCTGGAAGACGATATAGTCGATGTGGATAATTGCTATGATGCTCAAGTACTGGAACAGCTCACTGCTAACATAACAAGTCACATTGAGGATAAAGGTCAGGTATGCGTAACGTAGATTTACTTATGTTGTCGCTTTTGTTATTGTTATTATCAAGATTTTCCATCAAGCCATAAAAGCTGTACTACCGCTTCAAACAAAATTTGAACTAGAACTATGAAATGGAGAAGATGTTATATATTTTTTAATGTTATATATTTTTGGATTTTAATATATTTTGCAGCTAGACTGGTCAATTCGGGATGATGAAGAAGCTGTGATGGTTAAATCTCTACAACACTTTTCTGGATTTCTGGTAACTTAATAATACAGCAGTGGTCTGTGGTCTTTTGGTTATATATGCATTGAAATTTCAGTGTCTTCCAAATTCATTTTAATTGGTGTTCAAATATTTAAATTAATTCGTAAATTCCTCACCTTTGCTTATTTTTTTTTTTTTTAAGTAAGGAGAAAAAACAAACAAACGAAAAGTTAATCAGCATATGGTGAAGGATTGTTTGCATGATGTTTAAATTACAGAAAAAAGCTGATATCCGAGTACCCATGAAGCGTTTTCGTCGGGATAATTATGCCTTCATTGAGCAGCTTGTTTCACTTTACCAAATGGTAATTTTTTATTCACAATCAGTTTAATGCGGAAGTGATTTTAGAATGTAGAAGAAAACCCTTCAGAACTCTACATTGATGAAATCTCATATTATTGCTTTCATTTAGGAGCTAAAGAAATCAGTACGCATCGAGCTACTTTCGACATTTTACTCACTTTGTTTATTGGATCGTTCAGTCATTACAATGCTGCTTTGCGGACAGCTGCCGGTTCTGCTAGCATTACAAAACAATTTTTGTTTGCCACTCACCGAACATGATATATCATCTTTGCAGTTGCTTTCTATATTATTTTCAACTGGAGAAAAATTCCCAACCTCACATTATGGTAAGTTTCCTTTCGTATCATATTCATATTTTCTCACCATATTTTTACCAAATTCACGGTGTCACCTTCAAGCGCTTAATTTAACTTACTCAGATAGCCATTTTGAATTTATTGACTTATTCGAGAATGAGATAGCTGTTAACACAGCCAGAAAGAGAATAAAGATGCAACTTTTTCAATTCTTCGCATTGTTCTTATATAGGCATTCTTTTTCAGACGCTCTGAATTTGGAATTCTTGACAAAGATAGTCTCGCTAGTAGAGGATTCCGCAGATGCTTTCCAGTTCATTTTATCATTCAATGCTCATTTTGAGTCGAATGAAAGTACTGTTATTCAGGCACTATATAAGAATCCTCTACTTACATTTGGCCAGTTACTCACGATACAGTTGAATCGATGCAGAGCTGAGAATAAAGGTAGGTTTTAGGTAGGTCCTGAATAGCTATGGAATTCTTTACTCAAAAAGTATCAATCACAAAGCTGCTCAGTTTATTTCCCAAAGACGGCACTGACCAATATCTTGATATCCAGTTCTTAATCTTTTCGTATGGTTAATTCTTACCTTGGATTTATTATTCAGACTTGCGCGCAATGAAATTGCTGATGGACATTTTTTGCGTGTCAGATGACCTGATTGCGGTTCTTTTTTATGATAACGATTTAAAAGTTCTTTATGGTATACTATGCCAGGATTTGATCGACACAAACCAATCACAGGTGTTAACAGCTCTACAAAATTTATCTGTAATTGGTGCTCATTCTCGATGTAATTTGATATGAAATTGTTTAGAAAATGGCAATGATATTGCAAATAATGAAAAATGTGGAAGTAATAAGACGGTGTGGATTCATTCAAGAAGTATGTGCATCAGTGAAAACTTTTCTGCTGACTCATGACGCGCAATTGGAGTTGAGGTGCTGTGCGGATTTCATCCTGCAACAGGTCACTGAATAGCAAACAAATTTACCCATTACAATATAACATTCGACATGCCAAAAAGTACACTTAAATGCCACAAACTTACTATAATATTGATCTTTCTTTGTATGTTTCACGCAGTAAAGGAAATATTTGTTGTCGTCAGTTGTAACGTCTCTTGTCTCGTATTTTCTAAACTTTTGGTCTGCTACGTCTTCACTGCATGATTTAATTTGGTTCACAATAATGGTTACCCTTGCTAAACAAAGCTTGAGTATTTCGTTTTTTTTATAGGGATGATAAAGAAAAGTCTTAATACTGTAATCCTGTCGTACTAGCTTCTAGCGGCAATTAGACAGGTTTGGTTAAGGTGTGTTGAAAATCTCAAAACGTTCCAACTTATATATGAACCGCCGTTACGGAAGGAAAAAGACTCGAGTTCTTTATTGATCTTTCGGAGATCGGTCATCGGTGAGGAAAAGAGAACAGTGCTATGGGTATGAATTGGATCAGCAATCAATGTATGTACTCTTGGCAATATTACGATATTCGTGACCAATTTTTCTGTTTCGATATTATACATCTGCTTCAATCGAAAGCAGTACTTGTCCAAGTTATGCCAACTTCTAAATAAAAATGGAACATTAATGGTTCAAACAACATGGGTCGTGGTCAGGATTTGCACAGAATAACAGAATTTCTAAAATTTCAAATACTTTGTTTTTGCATATGTCGGTCTTTTTTTGTGTAATTTACGCCGGAATATATCAGTAAATATCCTTTATTTGTGTCGCGTTTTTTTGCACAACTTTGGTTCGAAACAAGGCTCCTGTGTAGTTCGTTAAAGGTTTCTAAAGGGATTTTTTTGTTTCTAAAGGAATCTTTTTTCTTTTTCTAAAGGAATCTTTTTGAGTTATTTTATTTGAAGAATGTGAATACTGGATAAGGGGTAAAAGGTCGCCATGTTTTTGGGTTGCAGTATCATATGAATTGAGTTTTATTAATCCATTTCTTACTTGCCTTTTAGTGAAATATTGATTAGTAAGGCTGTCCGTCTTATTTACTACCACAATTTTTGTTTTTGACTGCACACATTTGATTCTAACGCCCTATCATACACACCTCCAGTTGGAAATCAAATGGACCTAAAACAGGTTCCAAAAAAAGTCGAGTTGAAGTTATTACTGATCCGGAAATACATATGACAACTGCTCAAGATAACTGCCGTTTATTGTGGCATATGGTATAGCAATTATAATTTTCATTGCCAGAGAGTACATTATTGGTTTCAAATCTAGTAAAAAAAATGCTTTAGCCAAGAGTCGAGAACGCAACTTTTAATGACTTTTCTGGATCACTGGAAATCCAATACAGAAAAGCGGCAGGATTCTATAGCTTCTCACGCGAACCGCTTGTGAATGGCTCTGAATGTGGTTGTTTTTATTTAAAACTTCCAACTTAAGTTTTGGAGTAATTATTTATCATGCAAATGGTGAAAGTTTAGAAAAAAGAAATTTTCTTGCAAGAGCAACTGGCGTAAAAATTTTGGTTTAGAATTGAAACGTCTTAGTCTGTGACGAAGTTTACATAAAATGCTTCTTAAAACAATCAAAAATCAGAGAAAACCGTTGGTGAGAAATCTTGCAACAGTTCCACTCATTTCACTAGGCGCGACTTCATACGACATATCAAAACAATTGGTAGAAAATAGTTATTACGGATGAACTACTTCACTGCCTAAGCTTCTGCAGTTTCAATAATTCGAGAACACTGCACGTCATACCAACCCGTCCATTATGATTTTTTGGCTTCATTGGTCTTGACTAATTTTGTTAGATGGTAATACTGACTTAATGAATTGTGATGGTATGATATAATAAGTTCAAATATATCAAGAGAGGCTTTTTTCCTCATTCCAAAACCCAGAAGACATGAAAGTCGACCAATCACTCCCTTGTGACACACTATATGTGGGATGTTTTTTGTTTGAATTTCCGGATTACAAATGTTAAACAAATATTCTTAATTTGTCATATTTATTGAAATTTAAAACTTCATCTCCCAGGTAAAAGAAACAACAGCAAACGTTACAAGTTTTACTTCTCAAAGTAACTCCATCGTTTACTAAGCGGTAAGGAGCTGTCGAGCACACTGTACTGATGAATATTATATTATTCAGGTATCTGATGTTTGAACACTAATTGCCTCCTCCTTGATATACTTGATAGAATGAAATAAATAGAAGACCGCTGCTAGACACTATTTATTAATTTACTTTCTCTATTTTTGTAAACTTACCTGAAAGTTATTGATCGCACTTTGATTCCCGAAATTCTCAGACGCTAGAGATTAACCTCTGTTAGGAACTGCATGAACGATAAAAGGAGAGCGATGGATGAAATGTTTTCAGTGTGTTTATGTAGATGAAAATTAACTGCATTGGAATTTTGTTTCTGTGACTGTGCGACGTTTCCGGATGACAAAATCCTACAACTCGTTTATTTCATTGAAACCCTGTTGGAATGAACTATCATTGCAATATCAGCTTGAGTAGCAACATGGAAAGAGCCTAAAAATAATTTTGGTTAGCAAATAACCAAATTAAGACACTGCAAATGGAAATGTGTTCATGAGATACATTACACTCAGTTAGAGTTTATTTCTTATACTAGAAGTCTAGGAATTCATACGACCTTCATAGGTAGGGTCCTGCACCAACATAATGAATTTCAATGACAGGCACAGAAATCAGCAAGTTTGTTTTGTGACAAGTTTTTGGTCATAATTCGTGTGAAAAGAGAATGGAGAGATGAGGTGACCATGTCAGCAGTGCTATCAGTTACTTGAACTACTGCAACAAGCAAATATCTTAATACAGCTTATACAAATCCAAGTAACAATTTCTTTCTCATTTAATTTTGCTTTAGACTGCATCACCTTTAGGATTTTCTAATTGAAATATCCTTGTTACTTACTGTGACCCGACTGACATAAGATTCTCTCCTCTTTGCTTATGCATCCTATACACTTCTCTGTTACCACATTTTGAATTGCTTCAAATTCGTTGTTAAACAACTCATGCATAGCAAAACATGAATGAGAATAATATTCATGCATTGTCAAGCTGCGGTTTCTGCTTAAACGGAAATTAATTCCATAAGAATCTCTTGTGTCATCCTGAATATATTCCGCAGTCCTTCTCTTCATCTTGCGTCCATGTTCGCACGATTTCAAATAAACAAAACATTCTTACACTCATGCTTAAATTCGCTTGGATAAAATACCTTGATAGCCAAAATACCTTGACAGTTAATCAGCCAGAAGGCGAAAGATGACCATTTAACTGATAATCTATCGTTCATTTAAAGCTCCAGTTCAATTCCTGCTTTTTCTTTACCCGTTAAGTTCTTATAATCTCCTTGTCACGTCCAGCTTGAACATCTGCACCTCCTCATTCTAAGCTGTTTTTCCTTCGAAGCCCTATCATAAATGACTCATATCTTCTCATCAGCAACAACTGACTTTTTTTGCTTCTTGTTGGTTCTCTCTTTTCGATCCTTATTTCAGTATTTTGCACAATTTTTATGACGGATCACAAGTATGATCAGAAATTTATGATTCATACCATTTATTGACTTTTAGCTTACTGCATTCCAGTTTCCAACTGCCAAAAAATTCGGAAAAAACAACTTTTTGAAGCCATTTTTGTCAAGTGTAAGCAACCAAATTAGGTAGTTTCACTTTTCTCCAATATTTTCTAGATCTGATAACATTATGTTTTAGAAGAATTTTCCAACAATTTCTTTCCTTAATTGAATTTTCCATGGATAAAAGCGGTGATAAGTATAAGTCACTTCTACAATCACGACAGGAAGGAAACAGTAACTGAGTACAACAAAGAGGAAGCAGTTGAAAGATCGAAGAAGAAGCGATGAATTTTAAACATGGTTTTGAGATATCATCAAAACTGAATGAAAAGAAAGACAACACTAAACTGCAATGCGCCATAGGACTCTACCAGTTGCTTTGTTGCCATTGTCAACGACGTTCATTTGCTGAGCAAATGTATTCGCTGACGTTAAGTGCTTTTGCAAACGAATACATAGATGGTCTGCACAGGACGTCAAAAAAAAAAAATGATTTCCTGACCTGAGAATCCACACTGGTTGAAATTAAATACAGATGCCACCTCCAAATCCCTTTTTCGTAACATCCAGCAATTCCGTTTGTTTGTGGTGATAAGCTGAACTCATCAATGAACGGTTAAGGAGTGAATGCTGAATTTATTTATCTGTGCTTGTTATATATGTATACATCTATTTGTTACATTAATTTCATCTTTATCGACTTTGTCTTCGCAAGCAGTGATACTTTGCTCCTAGAATGTATTTCTAACATGCAAATGTTTCACAACTATAAGCACCACTTATTTTAAATGACACATCTACATTACGAGTCTTAAAAGCGAATATCCCATTTTTTTGAATTGTCCATGACAGGTATTTTTCCCGCAATACCCGTAAAACTGAGAATGATTCCTTTCCATGTCTAATGATATTAATCCTTCCAGGATTAAAAAAAGAAATAGCCTGTTTTCTAAATAAAGCTTGACCCGTTTCTTGACCCCCTTTTAAAATATTGTGAAGAGAGCAATTTCCCAAGTATATCACTTCGAGTAATTCCCACCATTCATAATTGCTGCATGATTGTCAAGCCTGATTTACTGGAGCTTCAAAGAAATTCTAAATATAAGGATAAATAATTGGCTCCTTGCCTCTATATGCCCATAAAAATAAAGCAGTGATACGCAGTAAAGATGGGTAGCTGGGGTTTTAAAGAATCCAGTTTCCAAAATCAGTGTTCAGCTGATGATACTCATTACAGAGCTACTAATCCACTTAGGGAACTGAAAAACAAATTAAAAGAAAAAAAAGTGACAGTAAACTGAACAACAAGTAACATCCTTTATTAAAATTTTCACATATTTTCGACAAAAACGCCATCAATGGGCACAATGCTTGTACTTGATTGTCATCCCGGGATTCCGGGTACTTACTTCATTGCCGTCAAAGCTGCTCAGATGAAATAAGTTAATGTGCAAGGTGTTATTCTGGCCCTCCATTTTATGTTGAATCTGCGCTAAATGGTTAGATTTCAGACGCTGAGAATCAATAATTGTTGTCAAGATTAGTTGACAGTCCGGTACACTTTTGTCACCCATATTCCTTTTAATAGATAAACTGACATTACTCATTGAATGTCCAAACAGCAAGTGAAGCGTCGATTTGCCCACACGAGAATGATGATCACGAAAAAAAAGGAGGCAAAACCAACAACATCCGAACGTTACGAATGAATCAAAATTCGCTTACTGCAAAACTGAATTCTTACTTATCGATAACCAAATACCCAAGAAAAGAGAAGCTACAGCACGAATGAACTCATTTACAATCGCGTTAACCAGAACAGTTTACCATGAATTTATTCCTAATTGAACCATTTCACGTATGAATCACGCTCCTGCGGTGTATTGACCGTCCATTACTTTCTCCTTTCTCGCGTACATTTCATCCCTTCTTCTTCAATCTTTTGCAGGTTTATGATCTTCAATCCATAGCATAGTAAGGAGTGCAGTTAGCAATGTGATGTTTTGCTAATGAGCTCTCTTCTGCCTGTATTTCATGACAGATTTAAATACCGAAAGAAGATAATGAACTTAGATGACGAAGGAATGCATTTAAGCTATTCAGATATTACTGGTTAGCCAGAACTTGCCCTATTTTTCTTTTCTTTTTTTAAATTGACTTGTCCCCACAATCATTCGTTTTAAATCCCTATTCAATACTTTTTTTATTTATTAATGGAAAGGAACGAAAACTTTCCACAGCTTTTGACAGCTTACTGAAACGGGGAATGAGGTTATGAACCAATACAGTTATACTAGTAAAGTGAAAAGAAAAAAAACAAAAAAAAAAAGACTGGAAAGGAAGTGCAGAAAGAACTGTGCAGTTTTTAGAAACTTATCAAAAACTACGACTATGGGAGAGATGGGACGAGTCAACTTGTTGCCTTTTACACTTATTCCACTAGTTCATTTTCATCATAATTTCATTTCATAAATATAACGTCCATCGACACACCTATTTTGGTATTTATTGGTTCCATCTTTCTGCTGATACGAATAAGCAAGAAAAACGTCTCTTTTGAAACAAACCAGCAAAAGAAGATAACAACTGTCTGATATTCTTTAGATACTTTTCTGCCATAGTTAAATCTGGGCTAGTTTTCTTCTTTTCTTTTTCTTTGCATTCCATTACTAAAAGGCAGCCGAATTAAGCAGCCAAGCGACAAAAAGTATCACAATGCAAATCCCGATTATACATGAAAGCATATGTGTAGGCATTCACAGCAAGGAAGAAAGTGTTGCTACATGTTTCGTGGTAAAGACGATTAGATTAATGCTACACATGCTGATATAAACCGAAAAAAGACTGAAAAAAAAATGGCTTAGGGTAAAAGTGACAAGTGAGGGGAGCACTGTCTAGGAGCTGGGAACAAACAGGAAATTCACAAATGGTAAATATGCTTTCAAATAGAAAACAAAGTATACGTTCTTGCTCCCGTCCTCTCTTCCTTCTTTTTAATCAGTCCTTTTAACTGTCCATTGAGATTTGGCCCCCCTCCCCTTCCCCCATGCATTTTTATGTACATCTAAATCGACTAAACTCCATTTATATTTCGGACAAGTTTTTCCAGTTCCTGCTCCTGTTCATCTTCCAGAGCTTAATTACCTGCAGTTCGTCTTCTTTCTTCACTGTTATTTCTTATTTGAACAAAACCTTTGAATTTTCTGGTTCCTTTTGAATAACGATTTTCATCCTTACCGGCACAACATTCTATTCTCAACCGTATAATATCCTAAATAAGTAGATGGTATCATGCAAAACTCAATGTGTAAGCTAAATGAAATTAGCGACGTTTTCCAGCAGGATTGCAATACATCATCATTCACTGTTGGCATTACTCACACAATACAATAGCCGTTTTTTCCATGTCATAGGAGTATAAGGATTCAGTTCATTAGATTTTTTAAAAAAAATGAATGACATGAAGTAAAACACAGATGCAATGCATGTAGAAACGACGTGTTTCAGATGTCACTAGAGGCTGAGTACGCAGAGATCTTTCATATAATTGTGCTATTTCAGTCACTAATATTATTCAGGCTTTCATAGTAATGTTCTTGGCTTTACTTTAATCGAATTATATGCCGCGCACAACATTTCAAGTCTTTCTGTCCTCGTCTCTTGCTTTCAGTCTCAACCCACTATCTTTACCATATCTATAGCTACCATTGAACGATGCGTGACCTTCATTTGTAAGAAACACAATATTTCTTACGAAACAGATTTTACTTTTCCTCTGACTTTGAAATCTATTACGCTGATTTGACATCACTCCGTTTGCTTGATGACAGTGAAGTGACAAGTCCAGCAATCTTTGTTTCCTTGCCATTTAACACTGTTATACTTCGTCAACATTGATGGATGAGTGCCATCTAACCTGGTTTATAGCAAGATATTGGCGATATTATTAAAGACTTCATTAGTCGGTAGCTTCCCGAAATCGCTAAGATCGTACTACAAACTAACTTTTTGACTTAATAGACTAGCCGTTCACTTCATTTTCATTATCGACATCTACTACCTATAAGTGAGTGATCGTATGCAATGCACACTAGCAATTTTCATTATAGCCAACTTTGCGGCATTTATTTTCAGACTTCTTTTCCATATAGATCTTACACTATCCCATTTATTTCATAACATTCCGGATAACTAAACGTCTCCGTAAATGTTCATGCTACACTTCGTTTTAAAAAGTATCATCTAAATGTAAATGCTAAAAAGCTATGTATTGGTAAGCTGAAGGAATGAAGAGAGTGATTTATGGTTCAAACAACCCCGTTCACTTCTTGCAATACGGACTTTAAGAATCCTGCTCAATTCAGAGATTGTTGCCCATCGAATCAAGATACCTTATAGATAATTTGCAACAACTCTTATAAAAAGTCTAAAAGTATACAAAAACTAGGCAATTGAGAGGTAATGCTTAAGATCTTTTCTTGTTCTCTTTTTATGCGTTGACATGATTTTCGACTTGTTGTAATAATTGAGTCTGATACTGCTGGTTAATTGTTGAGTTATGTGAATGAGTAACCCATAACTCATACTTTCATAAAAAAAATAACCATAACTATAACCATAACTTTCCATAACCATAACTTTCCATAACCATAACTCATACTTTTTGCCTTATATAAGCTCAGTGTTAATGTATGAATTATTTTCGAGAACTTTGTTTTCTTCTTATGAAAGGCAGCTTTCATATTTAAATAGCCAATATGAGGAAAATTTGTTAATCGGCAGCCTAAATCTGAGATGATGGAATGACAGCGCAGAATGAAGAGATCCCTGTAATACTTTACCAGCTTCTTTCGCGCCAAATCGACTAGCTTCCACTCATTTGCTGAGGAAGAATATGAAATTCAATGAAGGATAAGAAGGATATGAAATTCAACATTTCATATCCTTCACTTTTTTCTTTTCTACTCCTGAATCCATCAAGTTGCACCGCTTAATCCTTCCCAGCGATGATAATGCTTTCTAACAAGGTTTCATTAGATATCGCTGGTATTCATCTTCATAATCCAAATATGGACTCAGCGTGGCATTCGTATTCCATCAATATCACTAGGCTTTTTAGATGTAGTACTTTTCTCAGACGCTGTGCAAGTGATAAGAAATAATCGATCTTATTTCATAACTCTTTATTTCTTATGGAATCCAGATCATATCTGCTGCCGCCTTTAGCCATAGATTTAAACATTTCTTTCATTGCTGATTACAAACCGATCGTTATCTTTTTACTGCCATTTTCCCTACTCATGTTTTGGTTTAAAATCTTTTACTATGGCTCTGTATGAGTACAAAACCTAACTCTTCCACCAAACCTCAGCCTTACAGTTATCTCCTGCAGAGGTGAGCCGCTTTTTAGAATTCTAGTGCCATCGAGCGTATGAATCATCAATGAGAAGTGAAATGATCTTTGGAAACTGCTTACTGTTAACGGTAAACATGGTTGCTTTCAGATTCTTCTGTTCATTGTCCTCTCTCACAAATATCACGTTTTATCTTTCCCAAACTATGTTTTGCTCCCAAATATTACACTAAATACAATTATTACAACTATTAATTTTCAATATTATTTTCTCACCTGTTATGCTAGGTACACTGGGAGGACCAATAAAGATCTCATTTTTTGTCTGAGTCTAACCTTAAGTCTTTCATCCTCCTATTAAAACCACTAAGCTAGACTAGTGGAAATAAAAGTCAGTGCAAGAAAGTAACGTTAAACAGCAAACTCGTAAAATGGAAAAGTAGAGAAGGATTAACAGTAACGACACACGACCAACACGCACAAATTGTATCAAAGCGTAAAAATCATAAAGTCATCGACTCAAAGCAAGTTCCAATTATGCAACCAATACGATGAAATCATTAATCATTAATAACTCCAGCAGAATCGCATCAAATTAATTTGTCAGTATGGCGTGCAAGTGACGAGTTTGCAACAATTTTTTACGATCATCCCATACATCCTTCTAATTCAAGAATAAACTCCGGATATATCGGAATCTGAGGTGAAGTATGCAAAAGAATACGTCAGAACTGGAAATGCTGGGAATCCATTCATCTCCACAACTCACTCTTGACCCAAAATACCCTCCCCAATTAGCCACTAGCCATGTCTCACGACGTGCATAGCATTGTTCGAAGTTTACGAGTGTAACACTCGTGCGGGGATGTTCGTCGAATCCGGTATACTGAGGAGGTGTTTGCGTGAGGTCACGTGTAGTTGTGGGATGTGGGTCACGTTCTTGCGCCGTGATATGGAGGGTCGATGTCTTTTCCGAGTTATTAAACAAATTTTTAGATTTTTCAGAATGAAGTCAGCATGGGAAGTGCAAAGAGGAAATAACGAGCCTGATGATTTCTGATGGCCATTGTATATCCTTGTAATCTGATGGTGGTCGCTACACACAATTATTTGCCAATCGTATCCGAAGTTGACGATGATTCTCCATCCAGCAATGGTTTGTTTATCCCTACAGTCGAGTAACAATGCTGATATCATAAATGGACTATTTCTGTAATTTTCAATCTCAATAATAAAAATTTTACTATGGAAAGGGAAATGATTACTTGGTGCATATCGATTAGGGAACAGATTTATTTTAAGCAATTATTACGTTAAATTATCCTCAATTTTCTAACGATGTCGCGAACTTTTGCGAATAACCTTGGAAAGGGACGTAGCAGCTCTAATCTGGGTAATTCGAGATCTGTATGGCACGTGTCTTACACAGCGTTTGAGTTGCACAGTTTTTCGGCATGACCACTGTACTGCTTGCCGTTTTCATGACGACAGTAATCCTACCTGTATATATAAACTGGATGGATGTCCAAATTTTCCTTTTTTTTTCTTTTTTTTAAGGTAAGACTGTCGTTGAAATCAAGTCAAAGATTTAATCCTCAACAATTTTTAGTGACAACAAATATATTTGTTCATTTTGCTGATGAAGACGATAAAGCAATGTGCAGCAAAGATTTGCCTATGGGCAGACAGGTCTTTCGCTTTTGCTTAATCGTAGTTGATCGTATTAATGCATCCGTTTGACTAGCGCATACCACTCAGGCTTCTTACTCTTGAGTGGTTAACTATCTAGGGCAGCATTCGAATACTTTATATTTAGTCGACGAGTGTTTCCAAACTAACGAATGTTTTCATAGTTAATATCTAGAACTCTTTCTGAATTCGGTTCACTATCGATCTAGCTGGTTTTTAGAAGGAAAATGACTATATATCCTAATGAACATTAATTCTTTATTTTTTCTAAAGGTATATTTCTACCTTCAGAAAAATAGGTAGATTTCTTGAATCTTGTGAAATTCTTCATATTCTTACAGATCAAAAAATCTTCGATTTCGCAGATGGTAATGGTACAAATGTTAAAAAATGGTATGCAACCAGTGCAGAAGAGTGCCGCTGATTTCTTTTTTTTGCAAATACTGGGCGAGGGTTGCTTTTCTACGGTAAGGTTTATGGGAAACGAATGCACAGCGAACAGTGTATTGTATGTTGCGACTATTTTGAGCTTGCAGGTGTATCGTGCTCGTGAAGTATCCAGTGGAAAGGAATTTGCTCTGAAAGTGCTCAACAAAGATTTAATTCGACGACATGATAAAGTACTTCTTTGGATTTGTCCACTAAAGGAAAAAAGAATTCAACTTTATTACAAAATATTGAATGAATTAGATTTTACGTTAACATCATAGATAGTTAATTATAATTTTTCAAGGTAGTATCGGTTATGCGTGAGAAAGACATAATGACTTCGTTGACTTATTTGCACGGTGGACATCCATATTTTGTGTCCTTGTATTGTACTTTCCAAGATCACACTCGTCTTTGTAAGTTTTTACAATATTTGCTGTTTATTCGTTTGTTACTTACTGTATTCAATTTCTTCAAAAACATTGATGAGAGCATTTTTAGACTTTGCTATGACTTATGCAAAAAATGGTGATTTATTGGCATATTTGCATCGCCTTGGTTCCTTTGATGGAAGCGTAAGTTACTATCCCATGTTTTCTTTTTGTGTGGTGAGTAGGTTTCTTTTTCCCAATAATTCAAGTCTGAAGATAAGTGAAATATTTAAATTATAGTATGAACTCATAGTACATTGCGGTTTACATCCACAGAAAACACATGCATTTCTTCCCTTTGTATTTAATTTTATAGGTGACCTTATTTTATTCGGCTGAACTTGTTTGCGCAATCGACGTCCTCCATAAATGTGGCATCATTCACAGGGATTTGAAACCAGAAAATATTTTGCTTGGAGAAAATTGGCACATAATGTTATCTGATTTCGGCACAGCTAAATTTATTGATTCAGAAAAAGGTAAGTTAGACATCAGTTACATGTTGAATATAAAATCGGTTAACATCATTTCTTCACTGGTTTAAAATTACAGATGAAACAGATACGAAAAGTGCTCTTCAGGAAGAACACCACCGTAATCGATCAACATTCGTTGGTACTGCCCAGTATGTTTCACCAGAAGTACTGGTGGATGGAGAAGTTGGCCCATCGTTAGTCTCATTTGTTCGAAATGACTCATTTAAAGCATTATGATCCTCAGTTTTAACTCTTTCCAGATGTGATTACTGGGCTTTGGGTGCAATAATTTTTCAAATGGTTTCTGGACTGCCACCCTTTCGAGCTATTAATGATTACCATACTTTCCAAAAAATTCAGAAGCTGGACTACAGTTTTCCTGATGGTTTCCCTGACCTTTCCAAAGATCTCGTTCGAAAATTTTTGGTGCGTTTTGACAATCACATTCACTTTTCCCAATTCATGAATCACTGCTTTTAGTATTTCGGTAAACATCGTTGTGATGGTACCATTCTGTCTTTGTTTCAGGTATTCGATCCTAGTAAACGTCTTGGTTCTGAAGAAACAGGCGGCAGTGAGGCTGTTCGTTCGCATCCATATTTTGCCACAGTGGACTGGGATAATTTGATCACAAAAACGCCACCGCCTTTTAAGCCTTACTTACCCGCCAGTTGTGGAGAACCAGCCTTTCATAGCGATTACCATTTTCCAGATGATATAGAACCCGGTCTTGATGATGCAGCAGTAACCCGCTTGCTAGGACTTTCTCTAAAAGATTTCTGTTCTTCGAGGTTTGTTTTGTTTATTAACAGACGAAGATGTGGATTTTCAAGAATTATGACGAACTATTTCAGCCAAAATAAAGGTAGTTCAGAAGCAGAAGAACCCGAATCAGCTGGATTGCGTGAAAAAAAGCTGAGTATTCAGCGGAAAGAACACAAATACCATCGTTTTGTGGAGGGCAATTTGATTGTTAAAAGTGGTTTACTGGATAAAAAGAAGGTCAGTCTTAGTCTCATATGAACTGATTACTTATTCTTCGTGTTTTGGGAGGGAGGAGAAAGTAAGGGTTTCTGGGTCTACTGCATATAACTCTCCGTTTTCGTTGTGCTGGTACATTTCATCATTTTCATGCATAAGTGTTTATACTTGATTATGTTGCATATCACCACGTCATAAAATGTACTAAGCGTTCATTGTATCAAGCGGTTATTGTATCCATTGATTGGTTCCCTTGGAATTGAAAACTCATGGAATAGATAAACCAAAATAGTGTATTTAATATATTTATATGTCGAAAACTTGGTTTAGGGATTGTTCGCAAGAAGAAGGATGTTTTTGCTGACAGAAGGGCCACATATATTTTATGTGGATCCCATAAGTATGGAATTAAAAGGCAAAATACCGTTCTGCCGGAAGTTGCGAGTTGAAGCGAAGAATTTTCGAACTTTCTTTGTGCATACAGTTTGTCATTTCTACATATTTTTTTTTTCTTTAACAAAATAGAATAGACACTATTAGTTTGAGGAAGTATTGAGAAGTACCAACATTTCTATTTACAATATTTTCAGCCAAGCCGTACTTATTATTTATTTGATCCGGAGCGAAATGCACTGGAATGGTGTAAAGCAATAGAAGCTTTGCGTGAACAGTATCTGAATGAATTACCAGAAGAGCCGGATTGCTTGGATATCAAAAATACTAAGCGACGACGATAATGTTGCTTGTGTAAAGTGCTTCCCGACTACTTTATACTACTTTTCTGGAAAAAGTATTTTCAAAGTAGATGTGGTTCGGAATGAATGGTTGACAATACGTGAAATCCAGGTATATGCAAAGAACTTGCACGATTACCAGTTGTAAGGGACTAGCATATATGTATTCACGTAATGTAGATTTGAATGATCAAGTTACAGACTTTGCAGTTACACATAGAAGAACGGCGAAAGAGACGTTCTGTATCGAATTGTGATAAGTGTTCTTTACGTGTATACTTCCAGTCTTCTTTACTATTCTATTATCCAATTGCCTGTAGAATATAACCGGAGATTTTTGTTTTTGCATCCCTTTTGTTCTTGTCTTTCAACAAATACTTGTTATTTGTACTATAAGATTCTTCTTGATCTTATCAGTGCTTCACTGAAGCACTGATATTTATTAATATACTGAATAGGAAGGGCTTGTTCCTGGCATGTTTGTTTGTTTCGGTTTTTTTGAGTTATTTATGAAAATTAGTACATAACAAATGGCTGCTTAACAAGCATATTTAGATCCAGCATGCATAGATAAAGCGAGCATTTTTGCCATACGTTGTTTCCGGGGTGTCCGGGACTGTTCCGCTATTCAGTTCACCTCATCAACTATTTCTTGTGATTAACATTATCTATCATGAAATTTCCGTTTGATAATACATTGGACCAACAGTTTTTAGAACATCTATCTCTAGCATTAATCAGTAGCCACATATATCGAACCCCAGAAAATGAAAACGAAAAATAGTGGATACATATTCGCTTTACCCCTGACCTTTCGGGTTCATTGATTCAGTTATCACACTATGTGAAATCTTCACAACGATTTTTGTGACGAGAACGATGATGACTGAAATAAGAACGAAAATTGGAAAAACAACTGACCTGCCTAACACAATTAGATATAACTGCTCAATTCTCTGCATCTTTTCCGCTGTACGTGACAATATTTCTGGAGAGAAGAATTGACGAAATTGGTATCGATACATTCTGTTGATCTACTAACTGAATGAACAAAATGCATCGAGTAGTATATGGTGGAATAATGTGGAAACTACAGACATCTTGTCACATCTATTAATGAACTAACATGCGGCATACTTATCCCCTTAATGGAAGAACTGTAGAAAAGGATGGGACAGCCTGCTGTAAAGGCAAACGTCCCGCTTATAACTTTTTATTCCAGTTTTTATAAGCCGGAGATTGCTGTTAACCAAGGGTAGCTGGTTGTCGCCCTGCATATGAAGTCTTGTATAGATAGTATAGATACTGATAACTGTAAGACAATTGTAACAAGCGAATGAATCAGAATTTTGTCTGCCAGCTTCAACATTCAGCTTTATTGCTGGACTAAGGAACGGTACAAATTGAATATATCTAAAACTTAGATCAAGCTGTCGTCCAAGAGCGACTTTTTATTGAACTGGGAAAGTTTGGTGCAAATAGTTCTTTTTTTTGCGGCGACGAGATGTTTTGCATAATCTATTGTCAGATAAAAGTAAGATTCTATGGGAACGGGAAGTTTGATTTAAAGGACGAGTTTTAGTGGAAGCGAAATAAAGTTTCGTGTAGTGAAATGCACGAAATAATCCACGAAAATTTCTTAGCAAAAAAAAGTGGTGGTGACATTGAGAGGGAAGTGTCCAAAGCTCCTTTCTTACTACTTTCACAACTCCCCAAAACTGGGCTCTCTCAAAAATCATTTAAGTGCCTAGAAAATTATGTAAATTGTGTAAGTGCCTATCTCGCTCAAACTATGGAGGTTTAAAATTTTGCAGCGGGAAGTATAACATTACGATCCATTATCTTCCAATTTTTTTTTTCTTCGGCTTAGAATTTTACCCACAATAACTAAAGTTATATCCAATTTCCTTGCATAAGGACATGTGTCGCGAATTAACGCGAAGCTCTGTGATAAAAACGTAAAGATTTATAAGTGCATGATGTGTAGTGATGTACTAATTTATATATACAAAGTTGGATCGTGCAGTAGTTATGTATACAAAGTCGGATCGTGGAGTAGTAGTAGTGGCAGCAGCACATTAATTCCAGGACAAAAGGAAGTAGGCCATTTTGTGAAAGAATAAGGCCTGTCTATTTCCCATGAGGTACTTTACCTAGCTATCAAATAGCGATTATGTATGTGCTCACTGCTTTCGTCAATTTTCCCTTGCTCTGACGCTAACTTAAAATATGGCAAGAGAACTGTTGTCGTTATCTGGATTTGCGGTGAAATTTCTTCGAGTAATCTACTCACAAAATAATTTATCATAAATCTCAAATATGAGAAGATCGCTTACTTTCATACTTCTCCAAGATTTGAATTTGGTTTAAATTGCCCGGATTGACGATGTAAAAGCCGACCTTACCTTATGGATCCTTCCAGTTAATCTTTCACCTAAATGATGGTGGCTAGCAACCGCATTGCCCCATGCCAACTCCACAAATTCACAATAATAGCTTCTTTCAAATTCCAAACAACAATTGAATTGGACCCAGCAATGCTCATTTCGCCTTGGCCGTTTTTCATTCCCCGTGAATTGCCTAATTTTTATCTCAATCACTCATTCATTACCAGCTTAGCTGTAGCTTATTTCTGCAATGCCCAGAATCACCCCGCTTTCACGAATCCATACTTTAGCACCAGCAGCAGCAAGATAAGTGCAAACTAACCATTAAACGGCTGTCTCACTTTGTACCAAAAATGCATCCACTAAACATACTCCTATTAAAAGCGACATCATATTACGAATGCGTCATATATATTTAAATTTTAAGGGTATATTTCAGAAAAAAGATTAGTCTTTGTAAAGCATACCTTTTTCTCCACAATTGTTTTTAGACATTTTTAGGAGAGAGAACCAATGCAAAAGTAAATTGGTTGTGCAAGAAGTATTTGCTGATTCTGGTTGAGTGAACTTTCCTAGATACAATGAGCTAGCTGGCGCAATTTATTTAAATATCGAGCAACTCTATTCCATTGCACTGCTATCTGCAGAGGTCAATACACTGCCTCTATATCACCAATTGCCTAATCCGTCGTGCTGTTATCATTCCGGCCTTGCAACCATGCAAACATTCCACTTAAGGACCGTTTAGCAACTGTGACCCTCTAAAGACTTTTATGCCAAATATGAGTAAACATACTCATTTAAAAGATCGTTCATTCAACAAGCATTGGTTTGATGCAATTAACGTCAGACACTATCCGACGTATTCAGCCCTTTACCTTATTCTCAAGTTGCTTTTTTGTAAGTAGGTAGAAGTTCCACAATGTTAAATATGCTCCTCATTATTTGGCACGGTTATTCTGTCACGTTCCTGATATAAACGAATTATCAGTTTTTCGTTCTTTCGTTACAACAGTTACACATAGTGTTTTGTTGAGCAGATCAAATTTAGCAATGGCCCGTAACCGGCACACCGATGACATTCTGAATGTCAACGTTAGCGGTAAACGGTATACAGTTCGGCGCACCGATCTACTGGCAGATCCGAAAAGCAAATTAGCGGAATGGTTCAAACCTGGTACTGTGAAACAGATTGCCACTGATAAAGGAGGTTGGCAGGCATAAATTTGAATTTTACGATGCTGTTCGAAAATTTCCATTGTGTAATGGTTTAACAAGAGGTATAAATTATGTCCGATATGCGTATGCATATGCTAATGTATTCATCAAAATCCAGAGTTTCAGGCAACTATTATCTGGATCGTGATCCGAAATGTTTTCGACATATCCTTGCTTATCTGCGACTAAAGAAAGAAAAATTTGTCCTATCACTGGCTTTACCTGCAAAGCCGGACGATCTGGCAAAGTAAGTCGATGTCAATGGAACTATCGCCTGATAGCAGACTATATTTCTTTTGCTTAAAAAAGTGTGGTGTTCATTAGTTTAGGCTGTAACTTTCAAGCTTTTACTTATTAAAATTTTCTTAGCCAAAGAGTTACAGCTTATCGAAAGCATCGTTTGATAAGGTCAGTAATACATTAAGAAAAAAAAAACTATCAAATTTATTCTCAGCGAAAAATCAAAAATTTGCACGTTTAGATTGGTTGCTGAATGTGAAGCACTGAATATGGTTGAGTTAAAAAATTTAGCCCTTGATGTTTTGCAAAAATACCAGCGTACGGAAGAACAACACTACGTGACAAGTTATGTACAAATTGCCCTTCGTGACTATGAAACATGGCAATTTGATCACGAACAGGTGGCTTTATTTGTTTCATGAATTACTTGGAACTGATAGAGCAGAAGCGTATGGCAACAAATTTGGATTAAACATATCATTTGGGGATGATGGCACTAATAGCGATGTTGTAGCAAAATAATATATCTCACTAAAGTTTGAGTGGTTTGAAATTTTTAATAAATCTTGCGGAATTACAGAACACCGTAATCAAGAAAGGCAAAGGAGGAAGCGCAGAAATGGGAGCAGCAGTTACTTCAGCTTACGATGAATGGGACAATATGTGATTAATACGTATCCAATTCGTAAATCCAGTGCATCGAATTCATTAAATGCTGGTAAATACAAGTCGCATATTTCTTCACTCTTGTTACTGGCAACTTTTACCTAAAATATATCCTTGTATTACCTATACCTTAGAAATACATAGACACAAGAATTGCATATCAGATTGTGATTCAACCTTTACTCTATCTTTACCCATCTCCATAACATTGGTTCATATAACACAAAGGCCTGCATGCTTTATAAAGTTTATCTTTTCTACAAACATAAACATGCCATCAACGACTGTTACCTAAAATTCTATGACTATCTGGAGTATTATTCAATAACTTCATGCTACCAAAGCATTATTTGGAATGCATTGATCACCATTAATGTAATGTTTCTAACTGCTTAAAATTCAATAAAAACTAAAATACATCTTTCTAAAAGATAGCACGCTACCTTTTCATTCAACTGACTCATGTGCGGTGCAAACTGCAGACTGATCATTGTTGCCCATGTCACTCATTGCATATGATCCCTGTTGCTATTGAGGGTTACGATGACGTGATAACCTTATCAAGAAATCTCAAAACAATTGAGTTGTCGATGATTTATAGATATTTTATGTATTATACGATCAGGAAAATATGGCAAGCATTTTCTTAAAGTATCACTGTTTTAAAGTAGTGATAATAAAACGTAATGAATGTCGCCAGCACAAAAATATAAAGTGAAAGAAACATAAGTGAAATAAATCATTTGTTGTGAACTCTTAATCACTTGCCGTATTTGAATACCATTTGAAAGACTAAATCCGGAAGAACTGATAATATAAAATCGAGAACAAGCATACCATGTCATACAAATATTTCTCCTAATGCATTATTTCACAAATAGATAATATTTGTAAATGATTATGTCGTCACAATCATGTTTAAATTTGATCTTTTTTAAAGATTAAGCCTAAGCTTAACATTTTAAAAATTTGAACTCGAAAAG